TCTGCTTGAAAAAAACTCTTACCTGCCCGCCCACCTCTTCTTCAAGCTCTCACCTGCGCGGCCACCCCTGCTTCAAACTCTCACCTGCCCGGCAATCTCTACCCCAAAATTCGGTGGGAAACCGCGGGAAGGAAAACCTTGGGAAACCAACCATGGGAAAGAGCGGGAAACGGCGGGAAAAGGCAGGAAAGGGCGGGATTCAGCGCGGAAAGGGCACTAAGCCGTGCCTGGGGCGCGGAAAAAAAAACAACTTGCCAAGCCTGCAGCGCGGAAAGGGCACTTGGCCGTGCCTGGGGCGCGGAAAAAAAAACAACTTGCCAAGCCTGCAGCGCGGAAAGGGCACTAAGCCGTGCCTGGGGCGCGGAAAAAAAAAACAACTTGCCAAGCCTGCAGTGCGGAAAGGGCACTTCGCCGCGCCTGCAGCGCGGAAAAGGGCAAGTCGCCGCGCCTGCAGCGCGGAAAGGCACTTGGCCGCGCCTCTCACCAGGCAGTGCCGAGCCTCTCACCAGGCAGTGCCGAGCCTCTCACCAGGCAGTGCCGAGCCTCTCACCAGGCAGTGCCGAGCCTCTCACCAGGCAGTGCCGAGCCTCTCACCAGGCAGTGCCGAGCCTCTCATGGCGCGCGATCCGCCGCCTGGTGATGCTCGCGTGCTGGTGGGAGAGGTAGGTGAGTGCGTTTCCTTCGTCATAGGAACATTTGCCGTCAGATCAGTGCACAACTCGTGTCGCGTCGCTGTCAGAGATAAAACAAAGAAAGAAGAACATATTTACAAAAATAATTGAACAATTTGACGCAAACCTGAATACAAAAGGAGGCAGTGAAGCAGGCGCCTGGTGAGAGTGTTGAGCGAGAAACGGCGAAAAAAAGGCACGAGGCAGAAAATGGAGAGGAGAGGAAGGGCCGGGGAAGAGGGAAACTTTAGCTAGAAATATAATCTCACGTTAATATAACTATAAAACGCAACTAAAAAACAGGAGCTTCTGCTGGAACGCGGATTAACTCTCACAGGGGCCTAAGCTGCTGCGCCCACCATTCCGTCAGCTGCTTCCGCGGCGCGACATCGGCCATCTGCTGCCGCGGCGCGACATTCCGCCATCTGCTGCGCGCGCCAATTCGCCTGCTGCTGCGCGCGCCATTCCCCCTGCTGTGGCGCGCGCCATCCCCCCTGCTGCTGAACGATCTATGACTAGGAGAACAAATAAAAAGAAAACTAAGAGAATGCTACTAAGAGCATTAAGAGAATGCTACTACTAGTGAGACCATCCAGTGAGAGGGACGCTGGGAGAAGAAGAGCAGTCGAGAGAAAGAGGAGTCAAGGAGGAGGTAACAATGGGAGAGTTGAAGGACTCGCGTGCTGGTGGGAGAGGTAGGTGAGTGCTTTTCCTTCACCAGATCAGCACCACTCGTGTCGCGTCGCTGTCAAAGAGAAAACAAATAAAAAAGAACATCAGCACCACTCGTGTCGCGACCGTTCGACGGTGAGGTCCGACCGAGCCACCTCGCGCGCACGCGCGTTCGCTCTGCGCAGCGACCCGTGTGACATGACATAGCATGCTGCAAACTAAACTGACATCAAACGCGATATTCGCAAATGAGAAAAAGCGCGGGACGGCTAAAGGAGAGCGCTGCGCAGGGTGCAGCGCGAGGCGAGCAGGACGACGACTATCTAACGACCGCGAGGCGCACGAATAAACACGCGACTGGGACCTTAGCGAATGACACAGCAGCGGATTAGGTGGCTGTGACTGTAATTCTAGCTGAATAGTCGGTACGAGGGAATAAGGTTCGAGTAGACCTGATTTGGTTTGGGCTGAGGCAGCAGCGGGATGGATAGACGGGTAGCTAGCCAACCCCTCCCACACAATGTTGTGTAACATTTCGGGCAGTAGAAATAAAAGTAGAAGCATCTCGTAACTAAAATGGAAAAATCAGACCACTCCTACTACTACAGTGAAGTCGTTTCGATTTTACTGTTGAATGGAAGGGTTCCAACTCGGACCTGAACACCCACCTCCTCAACCCAAAAAACAGCCCCCAATGGGGTTTCTAAGCCTGGTCCGCAACAGGTCGCGGTGGAACAGGTCAAGAAACTCAAAGACAGCCCCCAATGGGGTTTCAGAGCCTGCTCCAGCGCACACGTCGCGGTGGAACAGGTCAAGAATGATACTATAACAGTGAGGTTCCAATTTACAGCGCGGTTCGGACGAATCTTGATTTGCAAAGTGTATATATTGCTGTTGCTAACCAACTAGCATCAACTATGATTGCGTTTCAAATGTGAATTGTTCAATAAACATGCGAGAAGATAAACACATGACACACATAATGGCATTACAAGTTGCGTAAGCATAAATCACAATCAAATATGTGTAATATTGGTACGTTATTTTTATTTCCTGCTTTCATGCCTAATTCATACTTCTCTTGATGTAATGCAAGCATGATTGCTAGTGCTCGTACTCTTAATGCCTGTAAACTATCTACTTCAACGTCAATGCGTTGGGGTGGCTTTGAGCGGTGCCGAGTGTTGCCGAGAGGTTTAGAGTGGTAGTGAGCGGTGCTGATACGTCCGATGCGGTCGTTGATGGTGCTGAACGCTCTTTGGTGGTGACGAGTGGTGATGAGTAGCTCAGAGAGGTGTCGGGTGGTGATGAGCGGCTCCGAGCGGTGCCGAGTGCTGCAGAGCGGTACAGAGCGGCAGTGAGCGGTGCTGGGTTGTTGTGTGCAGTGATTGGTGGTGTTGAGCACTTGTGAGTGGTGATGAGCGGTGAAGGACAGTGACGAGCCGCTCAAAGAGGTGCCGAGTGGTGATGAGCGGATCTGAGCAGTGCCGAGTTCTGCAGCGCGGTTCAGAACGGCAGTGAGAGGTGTTGGGCCTTTGTGTGCGGTCATTGGTGGTGGTGAGTGCCCGTGAGTGGTGATGAGTGGCTCAGAGAGGTGTCGAGTGGTGATGAGCGGCCCTGAGCGGTGCCGAGTGCTGCAGTGCGGTTCAGAGCAGCAGTGAGAGGTGTTGGGCCTTTGTGAGCAGTCATTAGTGATGCCGAGCGCCCGTGAGTGGTGACACCAACAGCAGCAGTAGGAAACACAAGCACAAGCAGCAAACGGTAGTTGTGAGCATCTGCATCACCATCGAGCGGCAACAGAATATGCTCAGCAGCAGTAGGAAACACCAGCATGAGCACAAGCAGCAAACGGTAGTAGTGAGCATCCGCTTCACCATCGAGCAGCAACAGAAAGTGCTCAGCAACAGTAGGAAACACCAGCACAAGCACAAAGCAGCGAATGGTAGTAGTGAGCATGCGCCTCACCATCAAGCAGCAACAAAAAATATTCGGCAGCAGTAGGAATGACCAGCACGAGCACAAGCAGCGAAAGGTAGTAGTGGGCATTGGCCTCACCATCGAGCAGCAACAGGAAAATATTCGGCAGCAGTAGGAAACACCAGCACGAGGACTAGCGCGAACGGTAGTATTGAGCATCCGTCTCACCATCGAGCAGCAACAGAAAATATTCGGCAGCAGTAGGAAACACCAGCATGAGGACTAGCGCGAACGGTACTATTGAGCATCCGTCTCACCATCGAGCAGCAACAGAAAATATTCGGCAGCAATAGGAAACACCAGCACGTGCACAAGCAGCGAACGGTAGTAGTGAGCATCCACCTCACCATCGAGCAGCAACAGAAAATATTTGACGGCAGTAGGAAACACCAGCACGGGCACAAGCAGGAACGGTAGTAGTGACCATCCGTCTCGCCATCGAGCAGCAACAGAAAGTATTCGGCAGCAGTAGGAAACACCAGTTAAGAACAGTTTCACCGTTCTCAACCGAGAGAACATATTAGGGTTAACCAACCAAGGCTGCAAGGAAACGCGCCCCGAACTGACCCAGCTTCACCACAACACTTCCGCCAAAGCACCCGCTCGCATCACCTTCATTGCGCCACCTAGTACCACCCCTCGCCAGCCCGTCGTAGTAGCAGTAGTAGCACCAGCAAATTCGTACTGTAGGGTGTATGTATTTCGCACCAGTCTTCTTTGCTACTCTGCAAAGCCGCTCGGTGTTTGGCTAAACAAGTTTTGTTTTGCCACTCTCATTGCCTTTTAAGAGAAATTACGCTCAAAAACTGCGTGACTTTTAGATATCTGTTTAATCCGTTCCCCTCGCGCTTACGTCAGGTCAACAAAGCAGATTCGTGAATCGGGACCTCACCCACCCACCCGCACACCAGCACGAGCACAAGCAACGAACGGTAGTAGTGAGCATTCGCGTCACGATCGAGCAGCAACGGGAGGAGAAGGAGGACGACGAGGACCAGGACGAGGAGCAGGAGCAGGAGGAGGAGGAGAAGGAGGAGGACGAGGAGGAGGAGGAGGAGGAGGAGGAGGAGGAGGAGGAGGAGGAGGAGGAGGAGGAGGAGGAGGAGGAGGAGGAGGAGGAGGAGGAGGAGGGGGACGACGACGACGACGACGAGAAGGAAGACGACGACGATGAGGAGGAAGACGACGAAGAAAAGGAGGGCGAGGAGTAGGAGTAGGAGGAGGAAGACGAGAAAGAGAAGGAGGAGGAGCAGGAGGAAGACGAGGAGTAGGAGGACGACGACAAGGAGGTTCACAACGAGGAGGAGGAAGACGAGGAGGAAGAGAACGAGCAGGAGCATGAGGAGGCGGAGGAGGAGGAGGAGGAGGAGGAGGAGGAGGAGGAGGAGGAGGAGGAGGAGGAGGAGGAGGAGGAGGAGGAGGAGGAGGAGGAGGACGAGGACGAGGACGAGGAGGAGGAGGAGGAGGAGGAGGAGGAGGAGGAGGAGGAGGAGGAGGAGGAGGAGGAGGAGGAGGAGGAGGAGGAGGAGGAGGAGGAAAAGGAGGAGGAGGAGGAGGAGGAGGAGGAGGAGGAGGAGGAGGAGGAGGAGGAGGAGGAGGAGGAGGAGGAAACACCAGCATGAGCACAAGCAGCGGACAGTAGTAGTGAGCATTTGCCTCACCATCGAGCAAAACCGGAAAATGTACAGCGGAAGTAGAAAACACCAGCACGAGCACAAGCAACGAACGGTAGTTGTCAGCATCCTCCTCACCATAGTGCAGCAACCAAAAATATTCTGCAGCGGTAGGAAACATTAGCACGAGCACAAGCAGCGAACGTAGTAGTGAGCATCCGCCTCACCATCGAGCACCAACATAAAATATTCAACAGCAGTAGGAAACTCCAGCACGAGCACAAGCAGCGAACGGTAGATGTGAGCATCCGCCTCACCATCGAGCAGCAACAGAAAACATCCAGCAGCGGTAGGAAACACCAGCACGAGCACAAGCAACGAACGGTAGTTGTCAGCATCCGCCTCACCATCGAGCAGCGACGAAAATTATTCAGGAGCAGTAGGAAACACCAGCACGAGCACAAGCAGCGAACGGTAGTAGTGAGCATCCGCCTCACCATCAAGGAGCAACGGAAAATGTTCAACAACAGTAGGACACCAGCACGAGCACAAGCAACGAACGGTAGTAGTGAGCATTCGCCTCACGATTGAGCAGCAACGGGAGGAGAAGGAGGACGACGACGACGAGGACCAGGACGAGGAGCAGGAGCAGGAGGAGGTGGAGAAGGAGGAGGAGGAGGAGGAGGAGGAGGAGGAGGAGGAGGAGGAGGAGGAGGAGGAGGAGGAGGAGGAGGAGGAGGAGGAGGAGGAGGAGGAGGAGGAGGATGACGACGACGACGACGACGACGAGAAGGAGGACGACGACGATGCGGAGGAAGACGACGGGGAGGAAGAGGGCGAGGAGTAGGAGTAGGAGGAGGAAGACGAGAAGGAGGAGGAAGAGGAGCAGGAGGAACACGAGGAGTAGGAGGACGACGAGGAGGAGGTTGCCAACGAGGAGGAGGAAGACGAGGAGGAAGAGGACAAGGGGTAGGGCAACAACGAGGAGGAGGAGGACGTCGAGCAGGTGAACGGGGAGGAGGAGGACGACGACATGGACAAGGACGAGGAGCAGGAGGAGGAGCAGGAGTAGGAGGAGGATGAGGAGGAGGAGGAGGAGGAGGAGGAGGAGGAGGAGGAGGAGGAGGAGGAGGAGGAGGAGGAGGAGGAGGAGGAGGAGGTGGTGGAGAAGGAGGAGGAGGAGGAGGAGGAGGAGGAGGAGCAGGAGGAGCAAGAGGAGGAGGAGGAGGAGGAGGAGGAGGAGGAGGAGGAGGAGGAGGAGGAGGAGGAGGAGGAGGAGGAGGAGGAGGAGGAGAACGAGGAGGAGAATTTCAAGGAGGAGCAGGACGAGGAGGAGAAGGAAGGGGACGAGGAGGAGCAAGACGAGGAGGAAGAGGACGAGGAGAACGATGAGGAGTAGGAGGAGGATGAGGAGGACGAGGAGTGGGAGGACGACGAGACGGAGAACGATGAGGAGGAAGAGGACGAGGGGAGGGAGCTCGACGAGGATGATGAGCACGAGGAGGAAGAGGAGGAGGAGGAGGAGGAGGAGGAGGAGGAGGAGGAGGAGGAGGAGGAGGAGGAGGAGGAGGAGGAGGAGGAGGAGGAGGAGGAGGAGGAGGAGGAGGAAACACCAGCATGAGCACAAGCAGCAAACAGTAGTACTGAGCATCCGCCTCACAATCGAGCAGGAACATAAAATACTCAGCAGCAGTAGGAAACACCATCACGAGCACAAGCAGCGGAATGTAGTAGTGAGCATTTGCCTCACCATCGAGCAGCAACAGAAAATATTCAGCAGTAGTACGAAACACCAGCACGAGCACAAGCAGCGGACAGTAGTAGTGAGCATTTGCCTCACCATAGAGCAGAAACGGAAAATGTACAGCGGAAGTAGAAAACACCAGCACGAGCACAAGCAGCGAACGGTAGTTGTCAGCATCCTCCTCACCATCCTCCTCGCTTGCCACGTTGACCAGCCCGAGGTCACTGTTGGCGGCACCCTTTGACTGTAATGATTACACAGAGCTGGATGACAGATGGATGTCGGATGGATGTCAGGTCACTTGGGACACAATGCCGGCCTTAAAAATCTCACCTACCACCCTGACATCCGTCGACATCCATCGACATCCGTCTACATGTCACTTTGGACACTCCCTTAGGTGCAATTGTGTTGTCAAACCAATCAAGCGTTTGCAGCTAAAAAAACGCCGAGGCTAGGATACTGTACGGGGCGGCAAATCGGAGTTTTGGGCTGCTTTGCATGTCGTTCGTTCTTTGGGTGTGCAACAAGCGAGCGAATTGGCTCGCTCAAGACGGGTAGGACAGAATCAGACGTGGCAAATATATCTCTCCTCACCCTCAACTCACCTTGCGCAAAACGACTGTTAGTCAGTGGAATTTTGTCGGGGAAAACTTGCTCATCTATTCTTCCCACCGTCTTCGCAGTGTTCTTTTGGTGTTTGGCTAAGACCTCGCTCGTTTTTCTCTTCGACTCCCCTTATGTTGTGACACAAAGTGATGCAAGTGGTTTTTGTCTGCCTATCATTTCTTTTCTTTCTCTGCCCTCAGATTTGATTTGGCACGCTCACGAGAGGTAGGCAGATTCTCTTTCTGCAGTTTCTAACTGTACGTATCACCCCTCCTCGTGCAACTTACTCCCTTCCTCGGTAGTGAAGATGATTGCTCAGTCGGCCCTCGCGCTACCATATTTTGTTTTAGCCGGGGGAGGGGTGGGGTTGGCGCACGGAGGTGGAAGAGGGGGAGGGGGGGGCAGCAGGGGGAGGGGTGGGTGGTTCTGGAGGAGCAAAGCTGTCTGCTCTGCTTGCTGACCTGCCTGCCGTGACAGCGTGAGTTTGTGACTTGTGATGCAAGTCCCCCATCACTGAGGCATCTCAATAGCCCTCTCCCACAAAACAAAACCGTTTGAAATGCTAAGCCCTCGTTCCCTTCTCACCTCCTACCCTTCCTTCTTGCCTTGTACCCTTTCTTCTGCCCCTCCCTGTCTCTCTCCCATCCCCCTAGACCCATATACCTCGCTCATTGCACCAAGTCCCTCATTCCAACAGGTTCATCCTGCCTCTCCTACCTTTCCTTCCTCTCAATCTCTCCTTCCCTTCTGTCCCGTTCTTCCTCTTCCCACCCCTCTTTCTTCCCCTCAACAAATGGTATTTTTTAACTCCGTTGCTTCCCGCTTCCTCCCCCAAATCGTATTCCTCCTCCTCCGCTGCTTCCCGCTTCCTCCTCCTCCTCTTCCTCCTCCTCCTCCTCCTCCTCCTCCTCCTCCTCCTCCTCCTCCTCCTCCTCCTCCTCCTCCTCCTCCTCCTCCTCCTCCTCCTCCTGCTTATCTCCCCGCCAGCCCGCTTTCTACAGACGACGGGGAGAACAAGCTTGTTCAGAACCAGAAACCCGTATCCTCTCCACTCATAGCCTCCTTCTCCCATACCCCCTACCCTCTCATCCTGTCACTGGCCCTCTCCTCCCCTTCCCTCCCCCCCTCTCCCCTCACTCCCTTACCCCCAGCCGTTGTGCCACCTAGCCTCGTTCTCCCATCCCCCCTACCCTCTCATTCTGTCACCTGTCCACCTGAAGCTGGCCCCAGCTGTGTCTCCCCTCCTTACAGCTTCTCTGGTGCGTCCTATCATATAAATTCCCCAAGTGCCTTCTCGGGTGCGTCATATCGTAGAATTTCCCAAAGTGCCTTCTCTGGAATTCCTGGTCCAAGGTGGTTCGTATTTTAGATTCCTCAAAAGCACCCCGCAGGCGCGGGGGAAATTCCTGGAACTAGGAGGTCCTGGCGATATTTTCAATAGGCTCCTGAAAACCATATTATGCCTCTCTCTCTTCTTCCCTCGAATCCCTCTGATTTCTACCCACAGGCGTGTGGGGCCCTTGGTCGAAGCTGGTGCTCGTGCTCATGATGCCGCTCGGAGTTTTTCTCTCAGATGACTCGGAACAAAGTCATGTTTCTCTCTCCTTTCCACGTACCCCTTTTGCTCCCCACAGGCGTGTGGAGCCCTTGGTCCAAGCTGGTGCTCGTGCTCGTGATGCTGCTGGATGTTTTTTCTTCTGGTTGCACGTCAGTAATAGGTCATGTTTCCCTCTCTCCTTTCCCCGTACCCATTTTCTCCCCACCTTGCAGGTGTGTGGAGCCCTTGGTCCAAGCTGGTTCTCGTGCTGGTAATGCTGCTGGGCCGCCACAGAGGCCTGCCTGACAACATCGACGCTGCCATCTCCCTCCCCAACCGCAACCAGTTCATTCCTGAACCACCTGCACTGCCTGCCCCACCTTCTGCATCTGCTGTATCTGCCGTCCCTGTTGTCGCACCTTGCATGCGTTCCACGTGTGCACCAAGGTGACTGAAGAGTCGACTCACGAGTCGCTGCCATCCCCATCCAGGCCTGCACCAGTTCCTCCCTCCCCCGGCCGTACCACCCTCGGCCGCACGTCCCCCTCCCACCCAGGTTGCTCCTCCCTGCCGCTCCTCCCCTAGTCGCCCCTCCCCTAGTCGCCCCTCCCTAGTCGCCCCTCCCCTAGTCGCCCTCCCTAGTCGCCCCTCCCCTAGTCGCCCCTCCCCTAGTCGCCCCTCCCCTAGTCGCCCCTCCCCTAGTCGCCCCTCCCCTAGTCGTCCCTCCCCTAGTCGCCCTCCCCTAGTCGCCCCTCCCCTAGTCGCCCCTCCCCTAGTCGCCCCTCCCCTAGTCGCCCCTCCCTACGTCGCCCCTCCCCTAGTCGCCCCTCCCCTAGTCGCCCCTCCCCTAGTCGCCCCTCCCCTAGTCGCCCCTCCCCTAGTCGACCCTCCCCTAGTCGCCCCTCCCCTAGTCGCCCCTCCCCTAGTCGCCCCCTCCCCTAGTCGCCCCTCCCCTAGTCGCCCCTCCCCTAGTCACTCCTCCCCTAGTCGCCCCTCCCCTAGTCACTCCTCCCCTAGTCGCCCCTCCCCCGGCCGCTCCCCTCCCCCACCGCTACTCACCTCAGCCTCCCCCCCCTTCCCTCCCCCTCTCCCCCGCTCCACCAACCACTCCACCTTCCACATCTGCTGCATCTGCTCTGCGACCACGTGCTACCAACCAACGAAACGGTGTCTTGCTTCTGGAGGTGGAGAACGGACATAGAAAGTTCCTGCTTTGTTGCTCCAATCGCTTCACTCAGACTTGGGTTCTCCGACTGTCATGCTCCGAGGCGCTGCTTCTTTATCTTCAGTTTCCAATTTCCAATCTACATAATCGAACTAGCTGACTGCTGATTACTTTGGTTAGTCGCTGCTAGTAATCCAAATGCAAATACAGTATCAACACGTCTCACATATGATCGTACAATGCATGCAGAAAGAACCTCTAGTCCATCCGAGGGTGTGAACCGCTGTGCTTTGAGCTGACTCAAAATGTATCCATTGGTCATGTAGCACATGCGCCACCTCTAGTTTCCCAGTCAATGGTTTATCATCGCGGCGCCACCCACTCGCCCTCACCACCTCACACAGCCCGTCAAACCTCTCCCCCCCCCCCCCCCCCCCCCTCTCCGCCCCTCCTTGCCATGCGCTCATGAGGCATGCGCCCTCCCATCCCTCCCTCACTTCCTCTTATTCACTGATTCCAGCAGCAGTCGCCAGTCTCCCGGCCGCGCCAGCAAGCCATCGTCACAGCGCCACCCGTTCGCTCTCAGCGCCTCACACAACCCATCAAACCCTCCCGCCATGCGGCCAAAGGAAGCATGCAGCATCTCTAGCTTCTCGAAAGAGGCTAACTCGGCTGCAGTTGCACTTGCAACCCCTCATTTCCTCTTCTCCTCAGGTGCCAGCTGCAGCCACCAATCGCCCACCGGCCGGGCCACCATACGAAGCATGCAATACCTCTATCTGATTTCCCCAAGAATGCAAAGGCTGCTGCACTTGCACCCCTCACTTCCTCTTCTCCTCAGGTGCCAGCAGCAGCCACCAATCGCCTCCCTCATTTCGAAGTATTATAGCTTGGAAGATGGTTGACCGAGGCAGTTCAGAGGCGAGAGGTTTGTCCTCTTGTGGATTTTCAGCTTTTTCGTCCAATAGAATTCAAGTTAATCACATGCCATTTTTGTCCCCCTAATGTTCCTAAGAAGTTGCACCCTGCCTTTAAAGGCACAAGTGAGGGATTTTTGGGAGCTGGGGGTGCAATTTTCAGGTGGGGCAGTGCAAGTGAATCCAGCAGAGGCGAATTCGGCTTCACTTGCACCCCTCATTTCCTCTTCTCCTCAGGTGCCAGCAGCAGTCGCCAGTCTCCTGGCCGAGCCAACAAGCCATCGTCACAGCGCCACCCATTCGCTCTCAGCGCCTCACACAACCCATCAAACCCCGCAGCCATGCGGTCATACGAAGCATGCAGCACCTCTAGCTTCCCCAAGGAAGCGAATTCGGCTGCGCGGGCTTGGACGTGGGTGCGCGCTTGGGGTGCGAGAGAGTGGATGGTGGGGCAGAGGACGTGTGGAGAGAGGGTGCGGAGGTAGGCGGCTTGCAGGGCCGCTCTGAGGAAATCCCTTGGGAGTGCCCCCTCCTTCAACACTACCTGCATGGATGGTGGTTGCAGGGGTGAGAAGGCATGGGGATGAGAGGAGAAGGAATAGATGTGAGGGGAAGAGGAGAGCATGCAGCACCTTGATCTGCTTCCCCAAGGAGGAAAACTCGGCGGCGCGGGCTTGGACGTGGGTGCGCGCTTGGGGGGCGAGGGAATGAATGGTGGGGCAGAGGACGTGTGGAGATAGAGTGCGGAGGTAGGCGGCTTGCAGGGCCGCTCTGAGGAAGTCCCGAGGGAGTGCTCCTTCCTTCAACACTACCTGTATGGATGGTGGGTAGAAAGAGTGGATGGTGGGGCAGAGGACGTGTGGAGAGAGCGTGCGGAGGTAGGCGGCTTGTAGGGCCGCTCAGAGGAAGTCCTTTGGGAGGGCCCCCTCCTTCAACACTACGTGCAAGAAGAATGGTGAGTGGTTGATAGGGGTGAGAAGGCAAGAGGTGTGGAGAGAGAGTGCGGAGGTAGGCGCCTTGCAGGGCCGCTCGTAAGAAATCCCAAGGAAGAGCTCCTTCTTTCAACACAACCTGCATGGTGAGTGCGTGGGGTGAGGAGGAATGGCGGTGTAACGAGGAGATCATTTAGTGGCAGGTGGATTGGAGGGCAGCCCGGAGGAAATTCCGAGGGAAAGCTCCTTCTTTCAACACAACCTGCATGGTGAGTGCGTGGGGTGAGGAGGCATGGCGGTGTAACGAGGAGATCATTTAGTGGCAGGTGGATTGGAGGGCAGCCCGGAGGAAATCCCAAGGGAAAGCTCCTTCTTTCAACAGAACCTGGATGGTGAGTGCGTGGGGTGAGGAGGCATGGCGATGGAACGAGGAGATCAATCTAGCGGCAGGCAGGTGGATTGGAGGGCAGCCCGGAGGAAGTCCCGAGGGAGAGCTCCTTCTTTCAACAGAACCTGGATGGTGGGTGACAGATAGGGGTGGGTGGGAAAGCAAGAGGTGAGAATCTAGATGCAGACAGCTTGCAGTGGGCAGAAAGAGTGGATGGTGGGGCAGAGGGGGTGTGGGGCGAGCGTGCAGAGGTAGGCGGCTTGTAAGGCCGTTGTCACTCATGGTTGGAAGGGCAGCAGCACTAAGAGAAAGTGAGGCGCCTCAAAAAAAGTGGGGCAAGCGTGCAGAGGTAGGCGGCTTGTAAGGCCGCTCGGAGGAAGTCCCGAGGTAGAGCCTCCTCTTTCAACACAGCCTGGTGAGTGACAGGGGTGAGAATGCATGGAGGTAAGAGGAGAAGGAATGGATGTGAGAGGAAGAGGAGAGGTAGTCTGCTTGGAGCGCCGCACAGAGGAAGTCCCGAAGTAGATCCCTCTTCTAGCTCAACTTGCATGGTGCTCTTTCAAGAGAGGGATCTCTTTCGAGACTTCCTCCGTGCGGCGGCGTGACACCCCTAACACAACCTGCATGTGAGTGTCAGGGGTGGAAGGGACGGGATTGAGACGAGGAGGCACACATGCGGAGGTGGCCGGATTTGTAAGGCCGCCCGGAGGAGGTCCCTAGACAGATCCCTCTTTCAACACAACCTGCAGGCCCCCACACATTCCCGTTTCTCCCACCCACCCACGCACACAGATGCACACAGCATGAACCTGCATCTGCCCTGTACGCTCGTCCTGTCAAAGGAGGTACTTCTCTCCTCAGCATATCCCATCCCAGCCACCGCCTCTGCCTCCTCCCACTGCACATCACAGCACAGCACACCTGTGTGCCTCACTCCCATCTCAAAACACAAGCATGCGCAGCAGCACACGCACCTGCATCTGCCCCGTACGCTCGTCCCTCCCAAGCAGGTACTTCTCTCCTCGGAATATATCAGCCATGGTCTCAGCCTCCCGCTCTGTGTGCGCCACTGCGGCCAAGGGCACCCCAAATTCGATCCAGTTCTCACTCCCTGTGCCGGGAAGGGGTGGAGGAGACGCCTGGGAAAGGGGACGCGGAGAAGGGGCGGGGGAGGGGAACGGGTGGAGAGGGGGGAATGAGGGGGTTGAGAGGTCTCTTTTTGCGCCACTGCTGCCAAGGGCACTCCGAACTCGATCCAGTTCTCACTGCCTGTGCCTGGACGAGGAGGGGGAGAGGCCTGGAAAGGGGAGGAGGGGAGGGGGTTCGGGTGGAATGGGAGTAAGGGAGTGTTGAGACGTCTGTCTGTGTGAGCCACTGCTGCCTACTTGCCAAGGGCACTCCGAACTCAATCCAGTTCTCGCTACCTGTGCCGGGGAGAGGTGGAGGGGACGCCTGTGAAGAGAGAAAGGGGAGAAGGAGGGATGAGATCTCTCTGTGTGAGTGAGGCACTGCAGCTAAGTGGCACTTGTAACGCACATGCAATGCACATGCACCATACATGGAGGGAGGGAAGCGAGAGAGGGAAGAGAGAAAGGGAGGGAGAGAGGGAAGAGAGGGAGGGAAGCGAGAGAGGGAAGAGAGAAAGAGAGGGAGAGAGGGAAGAGAGGGAGAGAGGGAAGAGAGGGAGGGAAGCGAGAGAGGGAAGAGAGAAAGGGAGGGAGAGAGGGAAGAGAGGGAGGGAAGCGAGAGAGGGAAGAGAGAAAGGAAGGAGAGAGGAAGAGAGGGAGGGACAGCGAGAGAGGGAAGAGAGAAAGAGAGGAGAGAGGGAAGAGAGGGAGAGAGGGAAGAGAGGGAGGAAGCGAGAGAGGGAAGAGGAAAGGGAGGGAGAGAGGGAAGAGAGGGAGGGAAGCGAGAGAGGGAAGAGAGAGGGAAGAGAGGGAGGGGAACGCGAGAGGGAAGAGAGAAAGGGAGGGAGGAGAGGGAAAAGAGGGAGGGGAAGCGAAGAGAGGGAAGAGAGAAAGGGAGGGAGGGGAGAGAGGGAAAGAGAGGGAGGAAAGAGAGGGAGAGAGTGTGGTTGATGTGCCGTGACTGTGACTGATCCCGTGTCCTACCAGGATAAAGAATGCAGTCCGGGCTCCAGGGTGGGCGGCAAGGGCAGCAGCAGCTAGGAAGGAGGAGAAATGCGCGCGACGGAACGCGTGGGTGGGCGTCCACGCCCTTGCAGTCGAGACATACGGCTGTCCTTCCCCGGGGGGGTGATGGCTTACCTGCGGCAGTGCGCGGAGCTGGCGGCCAAGCTGCCATACAACGCAGCACCTACCTCATACGAGGCAGCCAAGCTGCTGACGGAGTACCGCCAGCCAGCGCTGGAGGGTCTGCCTCCAGAGAGCGCAGCGCAGGCCAATGCCCTCCGCTCCAAGACCAACGAGGAGTGATACTAAGGAGAGGCGAGGAGAAACCCCCCCACGGCCCCCCCAAGGCCCCCCTAAGGCCCCCCTACCCCCCAATCCTCCTCACACCCCCTCCCAGCCCCCCAGCCCGCCCCCCCTATCCCTGGCATGGCATAGTTCCCCCCCCTATCCCAGGCATGGCATGGTCCCCCCCCTATACCTGGCATGGCCCCATCAACATGCGAGAGGTGCTGCTACTTTTTTTTTGTCACTACCTTTATCTTCCTCCTCCTGGTCCTGGTCCTGGTCCTGGTCCTGGTCCTGGTCCTGGTCCTGGTCCTGGTCCTGGTCCTGGTCCTGTTCCAGGTCCTGTTCCTGTTGTCAGAAGGCGGCTGGAACAGTAACGAGGACAGCAGGAACAGTAGCCGGGCGGGCAGTAACAGTAACAAGGTGGCCGTAGCAGTAACGGGCGGCTGGAACAGTCATCCCCCGTCTCTGTGCTTCTGTTTCTCTATCTTGCAATCTGTCTCTTTTTGTTTCAGTAGTTTCTGTTCTCCCCTCTCACTGCTTCTGTTTCTGTTTCTGTGCTTCTGTTAACCCCTGTCACTCTTCTTCTGTTTCTGTTTGTCCTGCGTTTCTGCCTCTGTTTCTCAGTCGCTGATCACAGTGTGGCCTTGTGTCTCTCTCTGTTTGTCTCTGTCTCTAGTTGTCTCCATGCTCCCCATCCCATCCCTGGGCCAAGCCCACACCGACCCGACCCTGGCCACGACAGGGCCATCCCGGCTCATATAGTGAACAAGAACAAGCACACGCAGTTTTCAAACCCCTTAACTGTACTAATTTAGAATCCTATTTCTTCATTATGTCTTCAAAAAAGGCGCCCCCGCACGAGAGAATGCCACCTGCACAGGTGGGGTGCGGTGGGGTGGGGTGGGGAGGAGGGACGGATGGCGGGATGGCCGGTGCGAGGGGATGGCGTGTGGCGGGTTCTGAAATTGTGGCAGAGGTGGCAAGTGGTGGGGAGGAGAGGAGGTGAACAGAGGGGAGGAGAGGAGGTGAACAGAGGGAGGAGAGGAGGTGAACAGAGGGGAGGAGAGGATGTGAACAGAGGGGAGGAGAGGAGGTGAACAGAGGGGAGGAGAGGAGGTGAACAGAGGGAGGAGAGGAGGTGAACAGAGGGGAGGAGAGGAGGTGAACAGAGGGGAGGAGAGGAGGTGAACAGAGGGAAAGATAGGCGGTGAACAGAGGGGAGGATAGGAGGTGAACAGAGGGGAGGAGAGGAGGTGAACAGAGGGGAGGATAGGAGGTGAACAGAGGGGAGGAGAGGAGTTGAACAGACCACCGGGAGGAGAAGGAGGTGAAGAGAGGGGAGGAGAGGAGGTGAAGAGAGGGGAGGAGAGGAGTTGAACAGAGGGGAGGAGAGGAGGTGAACAGAGGGGAAGGAGAGGTTTTAGCATAGGGGTTGGCGGGAATGGCAAGTGTGGTGTGAGTGAGGACTGGCGGGATGGCACGCATGTGTTGTGAGGAGTGTCAGAGCAAGGGAGGGAACGACGAGTGCAGATCAAGGGAGGGAACGACGAGTGCAGAGGCAAGGGAGGGAACGACTGAGTGACCGAGTCAGGGAGGGAAACGACGAGTGCCGCAGCAAAGGGAGGAACGACCGAGTGCAGCAAGGGAGGGGAACGAACGGTGCCAGGGGGGACGACGAGTGCAGAGCAAGGGAGGGAACGACGAGTGCAGAGCAAGGGAGGGAACGACGAGTGCAGAGCAAGGGAGGGAACGACGAGTGCAGAGCAAGGGAGGGAACGACGAGGTGCAGAGTCAAGGGAGGGAAACGACGATGGTGCAGAGAGGATAAGGAACGACGAGTGCAGAGCAAAAAGGGATGGAACGACGAGTGCAGAGCAAGGGACGGAACGGACGGAGTGCAGAGCAAGGGATGGAACGACGAAGTGCAGATGCAAGTGGAGGGGAACGACGAGTGCAGAGCAAGGGAGGGAACGACGATGTGCAGAGGCAAGGGAGGGAACGACGAGTGCAGAAGCAAGGGAGGGAACGACGAGTTGCAGAGCAGGGAGGGACGACGAGTGCAGAGCAAGGGACGGGAACGGACGAGTGCAGAGCAAGGGAGGGAAACGACGAGTGCAGCGCAAGGGAGGGAACTACGAGTGCAAGAGGTGCGGGAAGGGTGGAATAGAGGGGAGGCAGTCGGGGGATGGTGAATAAAAGAGGATAAGTGGGGATGGTGCGCGGTGGGGAGCCGGAGGGTGAAGTAGTAGGGAGTGGGGAAACCGTGGGGTGAACAGTGGGGGATGGGGAGGAAGGGCGGAATGAGGAGAAAGGGCGCAACGAGGAGAAAAGGGCGGAATGAGGAGAAAGGGCGGAACGAGGAGAAAGGGCGGAATGAGGGAGAAGGGCGGAACGAGGAGGAAAGGGCGGAACGAGGAGAAAGGGCGGAAACGAGGAGAAAGGGCGGAACGAGGAGAAAGGGCGGAACGAGGAGAAAGGCGGAACGAGGAGAAAGGGCGGAACGAGGAGAAAGGGCGGAACGTGGAGAAAGGGCGGAACGAGGAGAAAGGGGCGGAACGAGGAGAAAGGGCGGAACGTGGAGAAAGGACGGAACGAGGAGAAAGGGCGGAAACGAGTGAGAAAGGGCGGAACGAGGAGAAAGGGCGGGACGAGGAGAAAGGGTGGAACGAGGAGAAAGGGCGGAAACGAGGAGAAAGGGCGGAACGAGGAAGAAAAGGGCGAAACGAGGAGAAAGGGCGGAACGAGGAAAAGGGCGGAACGAGGAAGCAATTTCTCACCCTTATCCAAGTTCCCTAGCATGACGGAGTGGAGGCGCGGGAAGGGGAGGGATTAGGTTGACCGCGGCGGGAAACGGCAGCGCTCGGTTTCTCTCCCGCCATCCGCGAGTACTGCTCCTGTACTGTACCCACTTTGGATCCGCTTCAGTCTGCTCCATCCGCGCTGTCTACTCCTGTACCTGCGGGGCAAATGAATAAGCAGATTCACATGAATACGCACACGTGGAACGAGTACACTTGTGTATGTACATTCACACGACCACGCACGCATGCTACCCTTTGGCAGCTGCAGCAGCTCATCTTTCAGTCGTCTCACTCACTTGCCAGGCCACCTCTGCTTGAAAAAACTCTTACCTGCCCGCCCACCTCTTCTTCAAGCTCTCACCTGCGCGGCACCCTGCTTCAAACTCTCACCTGCCCGGCAATCTCTACCCCAAAATTCGGTGGGGAAACCGCGGGAAGGAAAACCTTGGGAAACCAACCATGGGAAAGAGCGGGAAACGGCGGGAAAAGGCAGGAAGGGCGGGATTCAGCGCGGAAAGGGCACTAAGCGTGCCTGGGCGCGGAAAAAAAAAACAAAACTTGCCAAGCCTGCAGCGCGGAAAGGGCACTTGGCCGTGCCTGGGCGCGGAAAAAAAAACAACTTGCCAAGCCTGCAGCGCGGAAAGGGCACTAAGCCGTGCCTGGGGCGCGGAAAAAAAAAAAACAAACTTGCCAAGCTGCAGTGCGGAAAGGGCACTTCGCCGCGCCTGCAGCGCGGAAAAGGGCAAGTCCGCCGCGCTCTGCAGCGCGGAAAGGCACTTGGCCGCGCCTCTCACCAGGCAGTGCCGAGCCTCTCACCAGGCAGTGCCGAGCCTCTCACCAGGCAGTGCCGAGCCTCTCATGGCGCGCGATCCGCCGCCTGGTGATGCTCGGCGTGCTGGTGGAGAGGTAGGTGAGTGCGTTTCCTTCGTCATAGGAACATTTGCCGTCAGATCAGTGCACAACTCGTGTCGCGTCGCTGTCAGAGATAAAACAAAGAAAGAAGAACATATTTACAAAAATAATTGAACAATTTGACGCAAACCTGAATACAAAAGGAGGCAGTGAAGCAGGCGCCTGGTGAGAGTGTTGAGCGAGAAAACGGCGAAAAAAGGCACGAGGCAGAAATGGAGAGGAGAGGAAGGGCCGGGGGAAGAGGGAAACTTTAGCTAGAAATATAATCTCACGTTAATATAACTATAAAAACGCAACTAAAAAACAGGAGCTTCTGCTGGAACGCGGATTAACTCTCACAAGGGGCCTAAGCTGCTGCGCCCACCATTCCGTCAGCTGCTTCCGCGGCGCGACATCGGCCATCTTGCTGCCGCGGCGCGACATTCCGCCATCTGCTGCGCCGCGCCAATTCGCCTGCTGCTGCGCGCGCCATTCCCCCTGCTGTGGCGCGCGCCATCCCCCCTGCTGCTGAACGATCTATGACTAGGAGAACAAATAAAAAGAAAACCTAAGAGAATGCTAATAAGAGCATTAAGAGAATGCTACTACTAGTGAGACCATCCAGTGAGAGGGGACGCTGGGAGAAGAAGAGCAGTCGAGAGAAAGAGGAGTCAAGGAGGAGGTAACAATGGGAGAGTTGAAGGACTCGCGTGCTGGTGGGAGAGGTAGGTGAGTGCTTTTCCTTCACCAGATCAGCACCACTCGTGTCGCGTCGCTGTCCAAAGAGAAAACAAATAAAAAGAACATCAAGCACCACTCGTGTCGCGACCGTTCGACGGTGAGGTCCGACCGAGCCACCTCGCGCGCACGCGCGTTCGCTCTGCGCAGCGACCCGTGTGACATGACATAGCATGCTGCAAACTAAACTGACATCAAACGCGATATTCGCAATGAGAAAAAAGCGCGGGACGGCCTAAAGGAGAGCGCTGCGCAGGGTGCAGCGGCGAGGCGAGCAGGACGACGACTATCTAACGACCGCGAGGGCGCACGAACACAACACGCGACTGGGACCATTAGCGAATGACACAGCAGCGGATTAGGTGGCTGTGACTGTATTTCAGCTGAATAATCGGTACGAGGGAAGAAGGTTCGAGTAGACCTGATTTGGTTTGGGCTGAGGCAGCAGCGGGATGGATAGACGGGTAGCTAGCCAACCCCTCCCACACAATGTTGTGTAACATTTTCGGGCAGTAGAAATAAAAGTAGAACATCATCGTAACTAAAATGGAAAATCAGACCACTCCTACTACTACAGTGAAGTCGTTTCGGATTTTACTGTTTGAATGGAAGGGTTCCAACTCGGACCTGACACCCACCTCCTCAACCCAAAAAAACAGCCCCCAATGGGGTTTCTAAGCCTGGTCCGCAACAGGTCGCGGGTGGAACAGGTCAAGAAACTCAAAGACAGCCCCCAATGGGGTTTCAGAGGCCTGCTCCAGCGCACAGGTCGCGGTGGAACAGGTCAAGAATGATACTATAACAGTGAGGTTCCAATTTACAGCGCGGTTCGGACGAATCTTGATTTGCAAAGTGTATATATTGCTGTTGCTAACCAACTAGCATCAACTATGATTGCGTTTCAAATGTGAATTGTTAATAAACATGCGAGAAGATAAACACATGACACACATAATGGCATTACCGTACAAGTTGCGTAAGCATATAAATCACAATCAAATAATGTGTAATATTGGTACGTTATTTTTTATTTCCTGCTTTCATGCCTAATTCATACTTCTCTTGATGTATGCAAGCATGATTGCTAGTGGCTTCGTACTCTTAATGCCTGTAAACTATCTACTTCAACGTCAATGCGTTGGGGGTGGCTTTGAGCGGTGCCGAGTGTTGCCAGAGAGGTTTAGAGTGGTAGTGAGAGCGGTGCTGATACGTCCGATGCGGGTCGTTGATGGTTTGCTGAACGCTCTTGGGTGTGACGATGTGTGATGAGTAGCTCAGAGAGGTGTCGGGTGGTGATGAGCGGCTCCGAGCGGTGCCGAGTGCTGCAGAGCGGTACAGAGCGGCAGTGAGCGGTGCTGGGTTGTTGTGTGCAGTGATTGGTGGTGTTGAGCACCTTGTGAGTGTGATGAGCGGTGAAGGACAGTGACGAGCCGCTCAAAGAGGTGCCGAGTGGTGATGAGCGGATCTGAGCAGTGCCGAGTTCTGCAGCGCGGTTCAGAACGGCAAGTGAGAGGTGTTGGGGCCTTTGTGGGCGGTCATTGGTGGTGGTGAGTGCCCGTGAGTGGTGATGAGTGGCCTCAGAGAGGTGTCGAGTGTGATGAGCGGGCCCTGAGCGGTGCCGAGTGCTGCAGTGCGGTTCAGAGCAGCAGTGAGAGGGTGTGGGCCTTTGTGAGGCAGTCATTAGTGATGCGAGCGCCCCGTGAGTGGTGACACCAAACAGCAGCAGTAGGAAGAAACACAAGCACAAGCAGCAAACGGTAGTTGTGAGCATCTGCATCACCATCGGCGGCAACAGAATTGCTCAGCAGCAGTAGGGAACACCAGCATGAGCACAAGCAGCAAACGGGTAGTAGTGAGCATCCGCTTCACCATCGAGCAGCAACAGAAAGTGCTCAGCAACAGTAGAAACACCACTGAGCACAAGCACAAAGCAGCGAATGGTAGTAGTGAGCAGGCGCCTCACCATCGAGCAGCAACAAAAAATATTCGGCAGCAGTAGGAATGACCAGCACGAGCACAAGCAGCGAAAGGTAGTAGTGGGCATTGGCCTCACCATCGAGCAGCAACAGGAAAATATTCGGCAGCAGTAGGAAACACCAGCACGAGGACTAGCGCGAACGGTAGTATTGAGCATCCGTCTCACCATCGAGCAGCAACAGAAAATATTCGGCAGCAGTAGGAAACACCAGCATGAGGACTAGCGCGAACGGTACTATTGAGCATCCGTCTCACCATCGAGCAGCAACAGAAAATATTCGGCAGCAGTAGGAAACACCAGCACGTGCACAAGCAGCGAACGGTAGTAGTGAGCATCCGCCTCACCATCGAGCAGCAACAGAAATATTTGACAGCAGTAGGAAACACCAGCACGGGCACAAGCAGGAACGGTAGTAGTGACCATCCGTCCGCGCCATCGAGCAGCACAGAAAGTATTCGGCAGCAGTAGGAAACACCAGTTAAGAACAGTTTCACCGTTCTCAACCGAGAGAACATATTAGGGTTAACCAACCAAGGCTGCAAGGAAACGCGCCCCGAACTGACCCAGCTTCACCACAACACTTCCGCCAAAGCACCCGCTCGCATCACCTTCATTGCGCCACCTAGTACCACCCCTCGCCAGCCCGTCGTAGTAGCAGTAGTAGCACCAGCAAATTCGTACTGTAGGGTGTATGTATTTCGCACCAGTCTTCTTTGCTACTCTGCAAAGCCGCTCGGTTTTGGCTAAACAAGTTTTGTTTTGCCACTCTCATTGCCTTTTAAGAGAATTACGCTCAAAAACTGCGTGACTTTTAGATATCTGTTTTAATCCGTTCCCCTCGCGCTTACGTCAGGTCAACAAAGCAGATTCGCGAATCGGGACCTCACCCACCCACCCGCACACCAGCACGAGCACAAGCAACGAACGGTATTAGTGAGCATTCGCGTCACGATCGAGCAGCAACGGGAGGAGAAGGAGGACGACGAGGACCAGGACGAGGAGCAGGAGCAGGAGGAGGAGGAGAAGGAGGAGGAGGAGGAGGAGGAGGAGGAGGAGGAGGAGGAGTTGAGGAGGAGAGGAGGAGGAGGAGGAGGAGGAGGAGGGAGGAGGGGGACGACGACGACGACGACGAGAAGGAAGACGACGACGATGAGGAGGAAGACGACGAAGAAAAGGAGGGCGAGGAGTAGGAGTAGGAGGAGGAAGACGAGAAAGAGAAGGAGGAGGAGCAGGAGGAAGACGAGGAGTAGGAGGACGACGACAAGGAGGTTCACAACGAGGAGAGGAAGACGAGGAGGAAGAGAACGAGCAGGAGCATGAGGAGGCGGAGGAGGAGGAGGAGGGGAAGGAGGAGGAGGAGGAGGAGGAGGAGGAGGAGGAGGAGGAGGAGG